TTGGTGGGTGTTGGTGGAGTGTTGGTGGAGTGTTGGTGGAGTGTTGGTGGAGTGTTGGTGGAGTGTTGGTGGAGTGTTGGTGGAGTGTTGGTGGAGTGTTGGTGGAGTGTTGGTGGAGTGTTGGTGGAGTGTTGGTGGAGTGTTGGTGGAGTGTTGGTGGAGTGTTGGTGGAGTGTTGGTGGAGTGTTGGTGGAGTGTTGGTGGAGTGTTGGTGGAGTGTTGGTGGAGTGTTGGTGGAGTGTTGGTGGAGTGTTGGTGGAGTGTTGGTGGAGTGTTGGTGGAGTGTTGGTGGAGTGTTGGTGGAGTGTTGGTGGAGTGTTGGTGGAGTGTTGGTGGAGTGTTGGTGGAGTGTTGGTGGAGTGTTGGTGGAGTGTTGGTGGAGTGTTGGTGGAGTGTGTGTTGAGTGTTGGTGGAGTGTTGGAGTGTTGGTGGAGTGTTGGTTGGTGGAGTGTTGGTGGAGTGTTGGTGGAGTGTTGGTGGAGTGTTGGTGGAGTGTTGGTGGAGTGTTGGTGGAGTGTTGGTGGAGTGTTGGTTGGGGGAGTGTTGGTTGAGTGTTGGTGGAGTGTTGGTGGAGTGTTGGTGGAGTGTTGGTGGAGTGTTGGTTGAGTGTTGGTGGAGTGAGTGGAGTGTTGGTGGAGTGTTGTGGAGTGTTGGAGTGTTGGTGGAGTGTTGGTGGAGTGTTGGTGGAGTGTTGGTGGAGTGTTGGTTGAGTGTTGAGGTGGAGTGTTGGTGGAGTGTTGGTGGAGTGTTGGTGGAGTGTTGGGGGAGTGTTGGTGGAGTGTTGGTGGAGTGTTGGTGGAGTGTTGGTGGAGTGTTGGGGGAGTGTTGGTGGAGTGTTGGTGGAGTGTTGGTGGAGTGTTGGTGGAGTGTTGGGGGAGTGTTGGTGGAGTGTTGGTGGAGTGTTGGTGGAGTGTTGGGGGAGTGTTGGTGGGGTGTTGGTGGAGTGTTGGTGGAGTGTTGGTGGAGTGTTGGGGGAGTGTTGGTGGAGTGTTGGTGGAGTGTTGGTGGAGTGTTGGGGGAGTGTTGGTGGAGTGTTGGTGGAGTGTTGGGGGAGTGTTGGTTGAGTGTTGGTGGAGTGTTGGTGGAGTGTTGGGGAGTGTTGGTGGAGTGTTGGTGGAGTGTTGGTGGAGTGTTGGTGGAGTGTTGGTGGAGTGTTGGTGGAGTGTTGGTGGAGTGTTGGTGAAGTGTTGGTTGAGTGTTGGTGGAGTGTTGGGGGAGTGTTGGTTGAGTGTTGGTGGAGTGTTGGTGGAGTGTTGGTGGAGTGTTGGGGAGTGTTGGTGGAGTGTTGGTGGAGTGTTGGTGGAGTGTTGGGGAGTGTTGGTGGAGTGTTGGTGGAGTGTTGGGGGAGTGTTGGTTGAGTGTTGGTGGAGTGTTGGTGGAGTGTTGGTGGAGTGTTGGTGGAGTGTTGGGGGAGTGTTGGGGGAGTGTTGGTGGAGTGTTGGTGGAGTGTTGGGGGAGTGTTGGTGGAGTGTTGGGGGAGTGTTGGTGGAGTGTTGGTGGAGTGTTGGTGGAGTGTTGGGGGAGTGTTGGTGGAGTGTTGGGGGAGTGTTGGTGGAGTGTTGGTGGAGTGTTGGTGGAGTGTTGGGGGAGTGTTGGTGGAGTGTTGGGGGAGTGTTGGGGAGTGTTGGTGGAGTGTTGGTGGAGTGTTGGTGGAGTGTTGGGGGAGTGTTGGGGAGTGTTGGTGGAGTGTTGGGGGAGTGTTGGTGGAGTGTTGGTGGAGTGTTGGTGGAGTGTTGGTGGAGTGTTGGTGGAGTGTTGGGGGAGTGTTGGGGGAGTGTTGGTGGAGTGTTGGGGGAGTGTTGGTGGAGTGTTGGGGGAGTGTTGGTGGAGTGTTGGTGGAGTGTTGGTGGAGTGTTGGTGGAGTGTTGGGGGAGTGTTGGTGGAGTGTTGGTGGAGTGTTGGGGGAGTGTTGGGGGAGTGTTGGGGGAGTGTTGGGGGAGTGTTGGTGGAGTGTTGGTGGAGTGTTGGTGGAGTGTTGGTGGAGTGTTGGGGGAGTGTTGGTGGAGTGTTGGTGGAGTGTTGGGGGAGTAATGGTGTATTGTGGTGGATTGTGGTTGAGTACTTCCCTACCAGTGACTACGGGGGAGTGAGGTTCTAGCTCTTCACGCCCGCCTCTCACCCTTGGTGTACCCCGTTGCGTTACAACGTAACTATTTCTGACCTTCGAATTCTTTGTCGAGTCTGGCCTTCAAGGTGTGGATGGAGGTGGCTTCCACAACTTCCTTCCGTACATTCCACTTGATGACCGCCCGTACACGGTACCAGTATTTCCTCACATTCCACTTGATGACCGCCCGTACACGGTACCAGTATTTCCTCACCTTCCACTTGATGACCGCCCGTACACGGTACCAGTATTTCCTCACATTCCACTTGATGACCGCCCGTACACGGTACCAGTATTTCCTCACATTCCACTTGATGACCGCCCGTACACGGTACCAGTATTTCCTCACATTCCACTTGATGACCGCCCGTACACGGTACCAGTATTTCCTCACATTCCACTTGATGACCGCCCGTACACGGTACCAGTATTTCCTCACATTCCACTTGATGACCGCCCGTACACGGTACCAGTATTTCCTCACATTCCACTTGATGACCGCCCGTACACGGTACCAGTATTTCCTCACATTCCTTCGGCTCAATTGTGTTTCTAGAATCCACTTATGTCATCTTGTCCTACTTTCTCTCTTAGAAATCCTTGTTCACCCTCTCTCGTCCCCTCAGAATGTTGTATGTTGGGATCATGTTCCCCTCTGTTTCTCCTATCGTCTAGGGTTGTGTGGTGGAGTGTATATTTGCAGGGAATTTAACTTTAGCTCTTGGACTCCCCCCTTTCAGCTTGCAATCGACAAGAGTTCAGGTATATACAGAGCTCATCGGTCCCTGCCCTTGTATACACATTGGTATATGTATACCAATGTACGTATACCTGTGTTTACATGTAAACACTACACCGTCGCTGCAACACACACACACACACACACACACACACACACACACACACACACACACACACACACACACACACACACACTTGCACTCGTCAACGGCGCCCACAGGCAGCAACAACGCCCTCATACACCCTAAATTGGCCGTATAGGTCGCCAGCGAGGGTATCCCCCCCTAAAAGTAACTAGGTGTTGTGACGGACAGAATGCTGGGTGACGGCAGGATTAGCCACCACTGAAAAAATTCGGGCCGGGCTATGAAAACGCCATTCCCTTCTGAAAGTGAACGTCAATTTCAATTACCACTGCAGTTCCCTCCTGATTTTCCGTGGAGTTTAGAGAGCGTTCACTGAGTTTCGTTCAGTGCCAGTGCCACTATGACGAGTGCCAGGTAGGAGCAGTGCCAAATTTGAGGGAAATACGCAAATTTCCTTGTAGAAATGAGGCGATAATGATTGCTTTGAGTCTGTATCGTAAATTCTTTTTCATATCACTCATTTTTTTTCCATGTTCTTGACAAGCTCTCATTAAAATTCTCATCCTGAAAAATATGACGCCAAAAAAATGTATAGAAGGTAAAAAAAAAAAAAAGTTTGAAATTGTTGATATTTCAAAAACAGGAAAGTGGATTTCGTCCTGTCTGTGACGGCTTTGGAGGTTGGGTGCTAGCTCTCGGTCCTGGTGGTGCCGCATGCGGCCTATCTCAGGTCTGAGTAGGGACCCGCAGCTGTGAGAGGGTGCCGCAGGAACTCAGACCTCAGGAGAGAGAGCCGCATGCATAACCGGAACCTGTTGTAAACCGTATATATATGTATATGTATATATATATATATATATATATATATATATATATATATATATATATATATATATATATATATATATATATATATATATATATATATACCACATAACAACAAGCGGGTTAATGATGTAAACTCAACTAGTAGTCAATCTGTATACTCACAAATATATACATAAACAATATATTTCATACACCGATCCTTGATATTCCTATCTCTAGAGAACTCCGTAATTCATTCAGTTGGGCACTGGGAGGCTCGAACTACCGACCCCACGGTCTGAGGCTCTTTTTATCGGTCGAAATGTTATAGTCGCTCAAGCACACACACACACACACACACACACACACACACACACACACACACACACACACACACACACACACACACACACACACACACACACATATGCTACTGATGATAACCGCTCACGTGATCCATCACAACAGTCTGCACTGATACGTGTGTGTGTGTGTGTGTATGTGTGTGTGTGTGTGTGTGTGTGTGTGTGTGTGTGTGTGTGTGTGTGTGTGTGTGTGTGTGTGTGTGTGTGTAAAGAGCACTCGTCCGCCACGAGCCAATATATGTATATGTATATATGTATATGACAGTTTCCCAAACTATATGTGGATATAGAAGTCCTACGGCTACACACAGCAGACTCTTGTCCAAGTCCGGCACACCCGCTTCCGCTCCCCACCGAAGTCCTCTTTGTGGAGTGCCGCCTTTCTCAGTCGAGAGAGCAGCCGCCTGGTGCACAGATTAGCCTTTATATCTCCCCAGAGGCTGATAAAGACTATAATAACCCTCCAGAGGTTGATGGGCCTTAATAATCCAATAATTGTTACCAGGTCTTAAAACCCAACCGAGGTTGATAGGCCTTAATAATCCAATAATGGTTGATAGGTCTTAAAACCCAACCGAGGTTCATAGGCCTTAATAATCCAATAATGGTTGATAGGTCTTAAAACCCAACCGAGGTTGATAGGCCTTAATAATCCAATAATGGTTGATAGGTCTTAAAACCCAACCGAGGTTGATAGGCCTTAATAACTCCAGAGATTGATTGGCCTTAATAACCCTCAAAGGTTGATAGGTTTTAATAACTCCCATAGGTTAATAGGCCTTAACAACCCTGTAGGCTGAAAGGCCATGACAGCTCTCCGGGCTTAAAGTCTGATAGGCATTAGAACAACACCAAAACTGCAGCTATGAAAGTTACAGTCAAAAAGGGTTCAGAATGACAGTCAACAAGCCTAAAGAGGTACAGAGCAACAAGACTACAGAACTACACCCAATAAGACTACAGAGCTACAGTCACCAAGACTACAGAGCTACAGTCAACAAGACTACAGAGCTACAGTCACCAAGACTACAGAGCTACAGTCAACAAGACTACAGAGCTACAGTCACCAAGACTACAGAGCTACAGTCAACAAGACTACAGAGCTACAGTCAACAAGACTACAGAGCTACAGTCACCAAGACTACAGAGCTACAGTCAACAAGACTACAGAGCTACAGTCACAAGACTACAGAGCTACAGTCAACAAGACTACAGAGCTACAGTCACCAAGACTACAGAGCTACAGTCACCAAGACTACAGAGCTACAGTCAACAAGACTACAGAGCTACAGTCACAAGACTACAGAGCTACAGTCAACAAGACCACAGAACTACAGTCAACAAGACTACAGAACTACAGTCAACAAGACTACAGAGCTACAGTCAACAAGACCACAGAACTACAGTCAACAAGACTACAGAGCTACAGTCAACAAGACTACAGAGCTACAGTCAACAAGACCACAGAACTACAGTCAACAAGACTACAGAACTACAGTCAACAAGACTACAGAGCTACAGTCAACAAGACTACAGAACTACAGTCAACAAGACTACAGAGCTACAGTCAACAAGACCACAGAACTACAGTCAACAAGACTACAGAGCTACAGTCACAAGACTACAGAGCTACAGTCAACAAGACCACAGAACTACAGTCAACAAGACTACAGAACTACAGTCAACAAGACTACAGAGCTACAGTCAACAAGACCACAGAACTACAGTCAACAAGACTACAGAGCTACAGTCAACAAGACTACAGAGCTACAGTCAACAAGACCACAGAACTACAGTCAACAAGACTACAGAACTACAGTCAACAAGACTACAGAGCTACAGTCAACAAGACTACAGAACTACAGTCAACAAGACTACAGAGCTACAGTCAACAAGACCACAGAACTACAGTCAACAAGACTACAGAGCTACAGTCAACAAGACCACAGAACTACAGTCAACAAGACTACAGAGCTACAGTCACAAGACTACAGAGCTACAGTCAACAAGACCACAGAACTACAGTCAACAAGACTACAGAACTACAGTCAACAAGACTACAGAGCTACAGTCAACAAGACCACAGAACTACAGTCAACAAGACTACAGAGCTACAGTCAACAAGACTACAGAGCTACAGTCAACAAGACCACAGAACTACAGTCAACAAGACTACAGAACTACAGTCAACAAGACTACAGAGCTACAGTCAACAAGACCACAGAACTACAGTCAACAAGACTACAGAGCTACAGTCAACAAGACTACAGAACTACAGTCAACAAGACTACAGAGCTACAGTCAACAAGACCACAGAACTACAGTCAACAAGACTACAGGGGTACAGGCACCAGCCGCCTCGTGGGCTGGTCAAGACACGCAGCATGCACACAACAACAGGAAATTGGAACGCCAGAACTGTCATCCAGGAGCAACGGGAGAACTAACAAGTACCCCCTCCCCCCCCTCTACTTACAAGAGGAACAAGACATCATCGTAACCGTCGCTCGTGTAGGCTGTTGGGCTGTTAATATCCAACAGGGTTCCACGCAACTGGCGAAGCTGTAAGGGCGGGAATCGTGGGATGCCGCCGAGCGCCGGAGGTCCTTCGGGGAATGCTGGGCACATATGCCCCTTCTGTTCGGGGGGGGGGGCATACGATGCCCCCCCCCCCCCCGAACGGAAAAGACAACGGTGTCATTGAGCCGGGCACCGGTAACGTGAGCGCTTCAACAGCAACGTTGCATCTGCAATATGTTAATAAGTTATTTTTCCGCTAGGGGGGGCGGGGGCGCGGGTTGCCGACTAGTCAATATCGAGCCGGAACGTGGATGAACGGGAGTTAGAATGCCATTTCCTGTTTTGTTTTCCCCCCTCGTTTGTATCGACGGCAGCGCTGTTATCGTATGGGTGATAGCCGGTGGGATAGCGGTGGGGCTCGTCAATAGCCCCGGTAGTTGGTTATCGTAGCTGGCCGTCAAACAGCCTAACCACAGGTCCGAATACCTCAATGACAAGTTCGGATTGACAAGAGCCGTCAGCCTTGCACCACCCTCCCTCCGGCGAGTCAATTGACACCTCGGTGACCGTGCAACGTTAGAGGCGAGGCGCGTGGCGAGGCAGGCGGGCAGGCGGGCAGGCGGGCAGGCAGGCAGGCAGGCAGGCAGGCAGGGAGGCAGGCGGGCAGGCAGGCAGGCAGGCGGGCAGGCGGGCAGGGAGGCAGGGAGGCAGGGAGGCAGGCAGGCAGGCAGGCGGGCAGGCGGGCAGGGAGGCAGGCAGGCGGGCAGGCGGGCAGGCAGGCAGAGAGGCGGGCAGGCGGGCAGGCGGGCAGGGAGGCAGGCAGGCGGGCAGGCGGGCAGGCGGGCAGGGAGGCAGGCAAGCAGGCAGGCAGGGAGGCAGGCGGGCAGGCAGGCAGGGAGGCAGGCGGGCAGGGAGGCAGGCAGGCGGGCAGGCGGGCAGGCAGGCAGGCAGGCAGGGAGGCAGGCGGGCAGGGAGGCAGGCAGGCAGGCAGGCGGGGAGGCAGGCAGGGAGGCAGGGAGGCAGGCAGGCAGGCAGGCGGGCAGGCGGGCAGGGAGGCAGGCAGGCGGGCAGGGAGGCAGGCAGGCAGGCAGGCGGGGAGGCAGGCAGGGAGGCAGGGAGGCAGGCAGGCAGGCAGGCGGGCAGGCGGGCAGGGAGGCAGGCAGGCGGGCAGGCGGGCAGGCGGGCAGGCAGGCAGGGAGGCAGGCAGGCGGGCAGGCGGGCAGGCGGGCAGGCGGGCAGAGAGGCAGGCAGGCAGGCAGGCAGGGAGGGAGGCAGGCAGGGAGGGAGGCAGGCGGGCAGGGAGGCAGGCAGGCAAGCAGGCGGGCAGGGAGGCAGGCAGGCAGGCAGGCAGGCAGGGAGGGAGGCAGGGAGGCAGGCAGGCAGGCAGGGAGGCAGGCAGGCAGGGAGGGAGGGGATTAGAGAGGAAAGGGAGTAGAGAGGACGGGAGAATAGCAGGCAATAGTGAACAGGAACAAGAAGGCAGGCAGGGTGAGAGGCAGGGTGTGAGGCAGGGTGAGGGGCAGGCAGGGTAGGAGGCAGGGTGGGAGGCAGGGTGACAGAGACACCAGGCAGGGAGGATAGAGGGTAAGGGTGCAGGTGGTGGGTCAGGGAGAGTGATGATGTGTCCAAAAAATAAAAAGATAATATCGCAAAAGGGAGCTATAAACAGAGGAGAGAACAGATAACAGTAACAAGGGATAAAGAGGGAGAAGGATGGAGAGAGAGAGAGAGAGAGAGAGAGAGAGAGAGAGAGAGAGAGAGAGAGAGAGAGAGAGAGAGAGAGAGAGAGAGAGAGAGAGAGAGAGAGAGAGAGAGAGAGGGAGACAGAGAGGGGGAGTGTTTCAGGGCTTAGCGTCCCCGCGGCCCGGTCGTCGACCAGGCCTCGTCTATGCTGGACTGGTCAACCAGGCTGTTGGACGTGACTGCTCGCAGCCTGACTTATGAATCACAGCCTGGTTGATCAGGCATCCTTTGGTGGTGCTTATCCAGTTCTCTCTTGAACACTGTGAGGGGTCGGCCAGTTATGCCCCTTATGTGTAGTGGAAGCGTGTTGAACAGTCTCGGGCCTCTGATGTTGATAGTCCTCTCTCAGAGTACCTGTTGCACCTCTATTTTTCAACGGGGGTATTCTGCACATCCTGCCATGCCTCCTAGTCTCATGTGATGTTATTTCTGTGTGCAGGTCTGGGACCAGCCCCTCTACTATTTTCCACGTGTAAATTATTATGTATCTCTCTCGCCTGCGCTCAAGAGAATACAGATTTAGGCTCTTTAGTCGGTCCCAATAGTTTAGATGTTTTACTGAGTAGATTCTAGCAGTAAAGGATCTCTGCACGCTCTCCAGGTCAGCAATTTCTCCAGCTTTGAAAGGGGCTGTCATTGTGCAGCAGTACTCCGCTCTAGAGAGTACTAGCGTCTTGAAGATTATCATCATTGGTATAGCGTCTCTAGTGTGAAAAGTTCTTGTTATCCAACCTGTCAATTTTCTTGCAGTTGTGACGGCTACTTTATTGTGTTCTTTAAAGGTAAGGTCTTCCGACATGAGTACACCCAGATCCTTTACATTGCCTATTCGTTCTTTGTTATAATTTGACTGAGTTTTGTACGTGGTTCCCGTTTTTATATTTTATTTTTTTCCGTAACGCAAGAGCTGGAACTTATCTTCATTAAATACCATATTATTTTATTTAGCCCATTGGAAGACCTGATTTATATCTGATGGAGGTTTGCCTTGTCTTCTATGTTGTCTACTCTCATGAAGATCCTAGTGTCATCTGCAAAGGATGATACAGTGCTATAGATTGTGTCCTTGTCTATCTCCGATATGAGGACCAGAAAAGGTACTGGAGCAAGCACAGTACCCTGGGGGACTGAGCTCTTCACGGTTGATGGCCCGGATTTTATTTTGTTAACTATTACACATTGGGTTCTGTTGGAGATGGAGAGAGCGAAAGAGTGAGAGAGACAAAAAGAACTAGAGAAAGAGAAACAGACAGACAAAGAGGAAATAAGTGACAGGGAGAAGGGACATCACACAGTGCACGGAAAATATACTGGAACAATCAAGCTAAAAAAAAAATTATTTAATTCATTCTGACATAAATTTAAATTTCTAAAAGAAATTCAAGATCTTCGAAGCACGCCGGCTCATAAAAAGCCTTTATAAACTGACCTCATCCATTGCATGAACACTATACGTCTAACCTCTTCAGTTTCTTGTAGATGACAAATCTTGGAAGGGTTCTTGCATATAAGCGAAGACACCTCCACACTCCAGCAGTGATCCACAGCAGTAACCAACGCACAGCCTCATAAGGCCAGGCGCTACACATCTTCCTGTGTTCACGCCTCTTGCAGTGTTTATGTTGCCGCATCAAGACCTCGAGTGACCCGGCTGTACGAACCGTTCTTGGGAAATTATGTTTGTATAGACGACTATGATACTGGAGGGAAGGTCTAGGAGCTTAAAAATTTGGGTATTTGAAGAATACTTGTGTACTCACCTAATTGTGCTTGCGGGGGTTGAGCTCTGGCTCTTTGGTCCCGAGTGTGTGTGTGTGTGTGTGTGTGTGTGTGTGTGTGTGTGTGTGTGTGTGTGTGTGTGTGTGTGTGTGTGTGTGTGTGTGTGAATAAAACCCAAAACATTGGCTATAAAGCAAGCAGAACAGTATGGAGGTGGATGACGTGAGGGAGGTTACAAGGACAGTCCGTGCGTGTTCCACTCCTATTTCAGCGTAGCCTGAGCATGTCACAGTGGGCTAACCTGACACTTGTTTTCTCTGTACTCTGACACTGTGTTGCCACACTCTACACTCTGCCAATCTGTTATTCCCCTGTATATATCCGATGGCGTACCCGGCGACACCCGTGGTCAACACGGTGGCCGCAGCGGTCCCAAAGAGGTTCTGTCCTTTAAGTGTTGGGAGCCCCTTAGAAGGCAAATCTGCCGTCATAACATGTGGGTTGCAAAGGAAGCCGGAGCCCACTTAAGGGGAAGCAGTAGAGCCGACAGGACAGTCCTATGACACTCCCCTACCACCCATGAGTCACCCTGCAGTGTTGGATGATGACGCCGTGCCGGCGGGAGGGGGGGGTGGTTCAAATAGCTTCGGCTATCACCTCCTTATGTCCAGGCGTGATGGTCAAGTGGATTAAGGCGTCCTGTACATACAAGTTGCGTTGCTCCTGGCAGTATGGGTTCGAGTCACTTCTGGGGTGTGAGTTTTCAGTTGCATATAGTCCTGGGGACCATTCAGGCTTGTTCGCATATATATATATATATATATATATATATATATATATATATATATATGTTGTACCTAGTAGCCAGAACGCAGTACTTGGCCTACTATGCAAGGCCCGATTTGCCTAATAAGCCAAGTTTTCCTGAATCAATATATTTTTCATTTTTTTTCTTAGGAAATTATAAAGCTACCCATTTTATTGTGTATGAGTTCATTTTTCTTAATTCGAGTTAAAATTAACGTAGATATATGACCGACCCTAACCTACCAAACCTAACCTAACCTATCTTAACCTAACCTAAACTAACAAAACTAAGTCAATAATTTATGTTCTTAATATAATATATTAATTATATTTCAAATGAACCAATTGGAAACAATTTGTTGAAAATAATGAAAATCACTCGGCCTATTAGGCAAATCGGCCCTTGCATAGTAGGCCGAGAAGTGCATTCTAGCTATTAGGTACGACATATATATTTATATGTCGCATAAGTCTTAGACCGATGTGCATGGGAAATAGACTTACAGGTTCCAGAAGGAGAAGTGAGGAGATGTTAGCATTGCTCGACGGATCACTGGATCATTATCTAACACAGTGCAGAGTTACAGACGAAATAAGATTCCAAGTGAGATTTAACAGCACAGAGGAAGTTGTTAAAATTGGACATATCCTCATTGAAGCCAACATACGAGTCATTAATACTCATCCACCTTCCGAGACAGAAATGAGTAGCAATGGGCCGGCCAAAGGCTTAGGGCCCGCGCAGGAATATCCCTGAAAGGAAAACAGAGCGCAGAAAA